CTCCCTTCTCCTTGTTAATCTTTCCACTACATTCTTCTTCTTCTTTTTTTTTTGAGACGGACTTTTGCTCTTGTCGCCCAGGCTGGAGTACAATGGCGCGTTCTTGGCTCACTACAACCTCCGCCTCCTGGTTTCAAGCAATTCTCCTGCCTCAGCCTCCCAAGTAGCTGGGATTACAGGCGCCCGCCACCATGCCCAGCTAACTTTTGTATTTTTAGTAGAGATGGGGTTTCGCCATGTTAGTCAGTCTGGTCTTGAACTCCTGACCTTAAGTAATCCACCCGACTCGGCCTGTCAAGGTGTTGCGATTACAGGCGTCAGCCACAGCGCCCAGTCTCCACTATGTTCTAATGTCTCCCTTCAGAGCCATATGAGGGAAAGGCTCAAGGTTCCTCAGGGGCTCCAACACACCAGCATCCCAGGGCTCTTCCCCTCTTCCCCTCTACATAGAATTATATTAGCTTAAAATGCTATAAACTACTCTGCGCCACAGAGTTGCTGTTTTGATACTGTTCTCAGAGCCCAAGACAGAAGACCAGCTTCTCCTTGGTCCCATTGGGTACATCAGTAAATAAGTCCTAACATTTGGGGTACAAAATCATTTTGCTTATGATGAGATCTGCTGTTTAGCAAGCAGGGCGCAACATTAGTGTGGATTTCTTTCATTTGAAATAAGTCTTTTAGGCTGAGCATGGTGGTTCACACAAGTCATCTCAGCACTTTTTGGAGGTGGAGGCAGGAAGACTACTTGAGACCAGGCGTTCAAGACCAGCCTGGGCAACACAGTGAGAACCCTGCCTCCATACACCAAAAAAAAAAAAGTTTTAATTAGCTTAGGAGGGAAGATTGCTTGAGCCCAGGAGTTCGAGGCTGTGATTGTCACACTGCACTCTAGCCTGGGCAGCAGAGCAAGACCTTTTCTAAAAAAAAAAAAAAAGAAAGAAAGAAAGAAAAAGAAATATGTATTTTCTTAATAAATAAAAATGTAGTTACTCCTCTAGCTAGAAAAGAGAATGTTGAAATTTCCTTGTTTAAAATCTAAGCATTGGACTCATGCGATGGTTAAACGAACAGAACCAACAAGCTGGGTGTAATTGTTTTCTGAGCTCTGTGTCTGGGCTATTAGCCATCAGGAAAATCTCTCCTAGGATTAAGTATTCCATAAAATGCCTCCACAGAATTACCTCATCATAAATCACCACATCCCATCTATTTTTATGGGGGGGGGGGAGGAGCCCTGTACCATGAAGGTAAGAATAAAAATTTCATTATAAAACTCTGCCTTCACCCAGCCACAAGTTTATGAAAAGTTCTTCTCATCTTCAGTTTAAATAAGAGCTCTTTCTTTATAATATTTCAAAAAGCTTATTCATTTCTTTACAGTGGTGAGATTAAAAAAAAAGAGGGGGAAAAACCTTCTCCATTATTCCTAGATTAAATTTTCATACTAAACAAAGTTGCTAAAATTAAAACTTGTAGGCTATTTAGAAATGTGCCGCTATGGATAGCACCACTCCAAAACTGTTCATCTGTTTTCATCAGCATCAATCATCATCGATGGCTGCCTAGTTGGCCCCATTTTTGGTTTTTTTTTGAGATGGGGTTTCGCCCTTGTTGCCCAGGCTAGAGTGCAAAGGTATAGTCTTGGCTCACTGCAACCTCTGCCTCCCAGGTTCAAGCGATTCCCCTGTCTCAGCCTCCCGAGTAGCTAGAATAACAGGTGCCCATCACGCCCAGCTAATTATTTTCAGTAGAGACAGGTTTCACCACGTTAGTCAGGCTGGTCTCGAACTCCTGACCTCAGGTGATCTACCCACCTCAGCCTGCCTCCCAATTTTTTTTTTTTTTTTTAGAAGGAGTCTCGCTGTTGTCATCCAGGCTGGAGTGCAACGCTGCAATCTTGGCTTACTGCAACCTCTGCCTCCTGCTGCCTCAGCCTTCTGAGGAGCTGGGATTACAGGTGCCCACCTATAAGCCCAGCTAATTTTTTTTGTATTTTTAGGAGAGACAGAGCTTCACCATGTTGGTCAGCCTGGTCTCGAATTCCTGACCTCAGGTGATCCACCAGGCTTGACCTCCCAAAGTGCTGGGATGACAGGAGTGAGCCACGGCGCCCGGCTGTCAGCCCCATTTTTAAGTGGGAGACAAGTTCAAGGAAATGTCTCTAAACATACCACAAACTTAAAACTATGAGCAGAGTACAATACTGAGTCCATGTTTGTTAACTTGCTCAACACTCAATATTCACAGATTCAGTGGGGCGCAGAGGTTCAAGCCTATAATCCCAGCACTTTGAGAGGCCAAAGTGAGTGGATCACTTGAGACAGGAGTTCGAAACCAGCCTGGCCAGCATGGTGAAACCCTGTCTCTACTAAAATTACAAGAAAAAACTAGCCGGGCATGGTGGCGGGCACCTGTAATCCCAGCTACTTGGGAGGCTGAGGCAGGAGAATCGTTTGAACCTGGAAGGTGGAGGTTGCAGTGAGCCAAGATCACACCACTGCACTCCAGCCCAAAAAAAAAAACAACAAAAATTCATAGAGTGCTTACTAAGCATCAGATAATATTCTGAACACTGGGCATTCAAAAACCAAGAAAACTATTAGAGTTGGGCCAGATATATTTCAAATAAATTACAATCGGTCTACTTTTAGAATCGTTTTGAAATACACAGACCATCCCTGATTTACAACATTTTCACTTACTGTTTATCCACTTTATGATGGTGGGAAACGGACATGCGTTCAGTAGAAACTATGCTTCGAATTTTGACCTTTTCCTTAGCTAGCTACACACAGCACAAGGCTGTCTTGAGACCCTGGGCAGCAGTGACAGCAAATCACAGTTTCCGGTCAGCCACGCAATCACAAGGCCAAAGAGCCAATACATGATGGTGTACTGTGCTGTCAGCACGTTTGGATGTTGATTTGTGTTTCCACATCCCATCCTGTCTACAAATGGTCATTGTTTACTTACAATATTTTCAACTTCTGATGGGTTTATCTGCTCATAACCCCATGGTAAGTTGAGGAATATCTGTAATGCCTTGGTCTTTTTTTCCCCCAGAGAATCATTTCATTGAAATCTAATGTTTCAGCGAATACCTTTTTCGAAAATAAGGGTCCTAAAAGGAAACCTTATTAAAAATAAAGCACTTTCACTAACAAAATATATGTCACTGTCATGTAACCACAGGGTTCAAAGGGATTCCAGGAAAACATCAAAGTAGACTCCTATCTCCAGCCATGACTGTGCCAAAACTATCCTACATGAAAACTTTAATAAAACACAGCAAGCCAATATTACAGCAAAGCAGCATTCACTTACAAGAAACAAATGTTAGCACTGAGTTGCCTAATCTAACTGGGATTCAGAACAGAGGAATGAATCTGCCCTGTCCACTATTTTGTTTTTATTTTGTTTTGTTTTGAAGAAAAAGTTATTCAAAGAAACTACACATATTTTTAAAATGTGATTTGTTATTTAGCATATGCCTTCTGTTTGTTAAAAGGAGCATTATGGCCACAGTTCTTTCTTTTTTTTTTTTTTTTGAGACAGAGTTTCACTCTCACTGGAGCTAGAGTGCAATGGCCAGATCTCGGCTCACTGCAACTCCCAGGTTCAAGCAATTCTCCTGCCTCAGCCTCCTGAGTAGCTAAGATTACAGGGCTGTGCCACCACACCTGGCTAATTTTTGTATTTTTTGTAGAGACAGGGTTTTACCATGTTGGTCAGGCTGGTCTCGAACTCCTGATCTCATGATCTTCCCCCCACCGGGCTCCCAAAGTGCTGGGATTACAGGCATGAGCCACTGTGCCCAGCCAGGGCCACAGCTCTTAATGCAAGAGCTGAACTCTGGCTCTTTCCTTTGATTTTGATCCATTCCACCCTCTCAGGCCCCAAGGGGTTTTTAGTCTGATTGGTCAATTCTGGCAGGAGCTGTATTTCCTAGAGTGGAGGGTCAGTATTAACCTCTCACTATGGCTCACTCTTTTATGGCGTTCCCTGTCTTTTACCGAGCTGCCTACAAGGTTTCAAGATTTCAACCTCAAGTATGGTCCTGGTGGAGGTGAAGGAGAGCAGAGGCTGCCAACTTTGGTGTATGTTCTGCCCAGCTTTAGGGGGAAAATGTACCACTGTCCTCCAGCCCAGCTCAGCCCAGTCCTCTCCTCTGCATGAACATTTGGAGGCCAAACCCAGGAGGAATGAGCATGGGGGTGGGGGGGACACTCTCCTCTGCCTCCCCGTGCCATCGTCTCTTGCTCACCTGTGCTGCTCAGGGACTTGCTGAGTGGGGCTGGTTGTGGTCAAGGCTGCCTCAGCCTCAGGGTCTTTTTACAAACTGGAAAAAGGAACCCACTCTGGGTTGGCTCCTCCTGGACTCCTTGGCCGCTGGCTGCCCCCACGGGCCTGGTGTGGTCTAGAGTACTCCTGGTACCCTGGCAAAATGCCATCAAATAGCAGGACCAATCCTAAAACTGTTTCTGCATCTAGTGGTGATTTTCGTACTGTTCTGTGATGGCTCCGGGGCTCGGAGGGTGTGCTTCATGGGTCAACGCGAGGGGAAATCGGGGAGACACAGAGGCGATCCTGTTCCCCCTCCTCCTGGCCACCCGGCTCTCATTTGCATTTCATAGTGAGATTCCGTGAAGATTTCTTTGGAAGAAAGGATCTTACCACTTTTTAAGAGACTGAAAACCACTATTTCTAGTTTATCTCACACACATGCACATCATCTACTTGAGGTCACGACTGACCTGACTGCTAGAGACCAGCAGGGGGCACTTCACTGTGGGAGCAGACACCTCAACCGCCATCTTGGTTTCTCTTTGCCCAGCGGCATGGTTCTGTCAGGTAACCCATATTCTAAGTTTCCAGTCCTATATATTTATGTTGACGACAGCCAACATTTCAGAAACAGACCCTCTGAGGAAAAGGTTAACGTTTCTCCCAACGATCTGACCTCATCAGTGGCTGCACACCAGTGTGAAGACATTTACCTGACAGGAAGTCATGGGAGCAGTTGAGAACAGTTGTTCCGGGTTGTATCCAAGTAAGGGGAATCTCTTCTGGCCTAGGTGAGCCTAGGACCACAATGTCAGCTTCGTGAAGCTAAAAGGAGAAAGGAAAAACACGCACATTTGAATCTGAGGCATAAAGATATAAGTAACTACTGATGTCAAATGAGTTCAACACGACCCCAGAACCACAGCTTTGCTCCAAGCTGCTGACAAGGACGGAATCACTTTACCAATTCCTTTCAAGCCTGTATTAATACAAACAGAAAACAATTGCCATATCCTAGAAAGAAAAGAAAATAGGACTTAAAAAACTGTCTTCAGGGTAGTCACTTCAGCATACATACTGCAGGGAGTATTACCATTTACACGTTTTCACCAGTAACTATAAGGTCAAGAAAAAGAATGGGGCAGCCAGGTGCAGTGGTTCACACCTGTAATCCCAGCACTTAGGGAGGCTGAGGTGGATCACCTGAGGTCAGGAGTTCAAGACCAGCCTGGCCAACATGTGAAACCCTGTCCTACTAAAAATACAAAAATTAGCCAGGCATGCTGGCCGGGGCCTGTAATCTCAGCTACTGGGAAGGCTGAGGCAAGAGAATCATAAGGGAGGCAGAGGTTGCAGTGAGCTGAGATCATATCACTGCACTCCAGCCTGGGCGACAGAGTGAGACCCTGTCTCAAAAAAAAAAAAAGAGGAAAACAAGGGGAGAGCCCATGAGGTCTGGCCCACACAGTGGGCTTGCTGGCCTGTATAACGGCACCATCACAATGAGACCCCTATGCAATTGTAACTACAGCTAGTGCTCGACTTACAACCACGATTGGGACCGGCAGACCGGTCATAACACGATTTGGTCGTAAGTTGAGTAGGCTATACGTACAGTTGAAATGGTGCATGTGGAGATGGTAGTGCTGCCGGAAGCTGGTCTGCACTGTCGTACGCCCAGCTGGGCAATGTTTGTGCTGCCAGACGCAGAGCAGTCATGGCTAGCGATTGTGGTCGTAAAGTTGAATGGTCGTGAGTTGCATAGGTCGTAAGTCGATCAATACCTGTATACCCATGGAAGGACTACTGTCAGGAGCTTGATAAAGAATTTCACTTTCTCTGAGGCCCCGGTTAGTCTCTTGCCCAACCGTTCATTTTTTTGCCCTGAGAAAGTAGAAAGAATGCAGCAACTCCAACAAAATGCATTGATCACATCCATCCTATTTGCATTTTGATCATCCATTGCTGGAGGAACAAGTCTGGTAGGAAGGTGACATTAAGACATAGGCGGAGAGCTCAGCTCTGACCTTAACCAAAGAATGGCCAGCTCCCCACCCCATGGAGCAACTGATGATTTCACACCAGATCCCCATGCGGAAGGAGGGGTGAATAGGAATACTAGATCTGCAGAAGAGAATAGCAACAATTGTACAGGTCAGCTAGGTGTTTTAAGTACTACCTCATTGAATATTCCAAATGAGTGAGATTGGTGTTACTCTGCTCATTTAACAGACAAGGAAACTGTGGCTCCCAGATACAAATAGCTCTATGTTATGTCCTGTGTCTCCTAGTGAGCCCAGTCCTAGAGATCCAAGTGAACCTAGGCAGAAAGAGGACAACTGACCGTCCCTTTCCCTACTATCTCTCCTGTGGACTTCAAAGTCCTGCAACTAACCACAGGGTCTCTGGGGTCAAACAGACAGAGGGGCAGACTACAAAACACAAAAGCATCCCCACTGCCACTGCCACCACCAAACCACCAAATACACGTGCTGGAGACCCCGTCATCCATTCTCAGCTTAGACAAGCTGATCATTGAAGATCCTGTGGAAGAACCAGGATAGCTCCTCACCCTGAGGACTTTTCACACTATGTGGGCAAGAGGGTGCATCAGCTGATGTCTTTTAGAAATCTTGAGACAAGAGATGATAATGGAAGCAAACCCATGACAGTCCTACCTGGTTGTTTATGAATGAAAAAGCCAAGATCCCAGGGCAGCTCCAAATCTCCTGACAGAGGAGGAGCACGATAAAAATCGAAATGCGTGTCTTCTCATAGAGCTGACAAAGCCAACTTTTAAAAGCTAATGCCTTGGAACTATTTGATCAATTTGACCATGTGAGTAGCGAAAAGCGTATTAACACTCATTGATTATCCAGTAACAAGCGAAACTGCATTCTCTGCTTTTCAGCTCCTGACTGTATTATTACTCTGACTTTATTATGGAAGTAGAAGAGCACACTGCCATGGTGTCACACAGACTTTACTGTATTAATCACATTAAAAAGAAGGGAGAAATCCCTACTAAAACATTTGCCCAGGGCGGACACGTTGGCTCATGCCACCATGCTGGGTAATCCCAGCACTTTGGGAGGCCAGGGTGGGAAGACTGCTTGAGCCCAGAAGTTTGAAAACAGCTTGGGCAAGATAGGAAGACCCTGTCTCTACAAAAATAAAATAAAAATTAGCCAGGTGTGGTGAGGCGTGCCTGTGGTCCTAGCTACTTAAGAAGTTGAGGTAGAATGATCACTTGAGCCCAGGTCACAGCTGCAGTGAGCCATGATCACGCCACTGTACTCCAGCCTGGGTGACAGGGCAAGACCCTGTCTCAAAAACAAAATACATTTGCCTAAATAACCATTCTTCTGTGCCACAGGGCCAAAATATCACTCATCCTCTGTAAGAACTTTGCAGCCAAATGAGAATCACTTGAACCCAGGAGGCGGAGGTTGCAGTGAGCCGAGATCACGCCACTGCACTCCAGCCTGAACAATGGAGTGACTCTGTCTAAAAAAAAAAAAATTTGCAGCCAATATCACCAGCAATCTAATCCCGTAAAGCCACCTATAATTTCTACTGATCTAAAATACAGCCAGCACTCCAGGTGATGGTATATATGGGGGAAAAAAATAGTGCTGGTGGAAAAAGGATTTTAAACATCTGTATAAAAAAAAATTATATTTCTTCATTTACACATACTACTGTCAAAAATTCAACCACAGCAATCCTCAAGAGAAATACAAAGGTTTAAGCTTTGTCGCAGATCTGCAGATAAGAAACGCCATTTTGCTAGATTTTCAGGCACAAAAGCAGCAAAACCAGAACATGTTAAAACAACGGTAAAAAGGAGGTTAATGTGAACAAGACTGAAATGTTCATTTTGGAGGAAGCCAAGGATCACAGGTTCACACAAGTCCCCAAGAACACTTATTTTCCTACACGTGGTGTCTTTGATACAACCTGTTCTTTTCATTACCTATAAATCTTGGAAATCTCATTCTGAGCCCTCGGCTCCATACCTACACTCAACTCTAATGTGGGCTTGCTCATCAGCGACTGGGGAACAGCTCATTCCACAGAGAAAAGACAAACGCTCCTCCCTTAGCAATGATCGCATAGTAGATGTTAATTCTTTCTGGAAAGGAAAAGTGCTAGATGCTTAAATCAGTAAATAACCCACCAAGGACAAGGGAAGATTTTAATGAGCTAAAATTCAAGGAGAATTATTGTCTCACTCGCTGTTCCTACTTTCCACCTCCCAAATGGGAAAGACCCTGGCCAAAGCTTGGCTTGAAACTCTACCTCATAACAAAATATTGCTTTCTCTGCTGAGACGAGCGGAGCAGCTTAAAGCAACCACCCCAACTCCCCAGGCAGAGAACCGAATGTTAAAACAATAGTAAGACGCAGATATGCAGAGACTTAATGGGGAGTGTGTGGGGGTGCAGTAATTTAGATAACTGAAGATAAGTTTTCTCGAAGTCATTAATTTTTAAGCTGGAGGGACAAGCATCTGAATATAAAGAGATGTGGGAACGGAGGACAGAGGGGATTTGGAAAGTTATATGCAATATCATAATTTTGTATTTAGCAAATAAAATGCATTAAAATTTTTAAAACTAAATACAGCCCTGCCCTCTTAACTAGAAAATGGTATGTATCTTCTATCAATGTGCTTTGAAACAGTTCATATCACATGAGAATCTCAGATATGAGATCTGTATATATGCTTAAAATCCAGAATGGGTAAAAAAAGATATTTTCTAAAGAACTGTGGTTTATATCACTTGAGACCTATGAAAAGTGTTTCTACGCCCTTTAAACATTCCCAGTACACTTCAGAAAATCAAGTTCAATTCCTTATGAGGGTCAGTTGAATAAAAAAGAAAGAAAACAATGTTCAAAATGATCAACATTACTTTAAAAAATTAACAGGTAGGTGATTTGTCCAGCAAGGATGTGCTTCTGAAATTACAATAACTAAAGACATTGGGGCCGGGCGCGGTGGCTCGCGCCTGTAATCCCAACACTTTGAGAGACTGAGGCGGGCGGATCACCTGAGGTCAGGAGTTTGAGACCAGCTTGACCAACATGGAGAAACCCCGTCTCTACTAAAAACACAAAAAATTAGCCAGGCAGGGTAGCGTATGCCTGTAATCCCAGCTACTCGGGAGGCTGAGGCTAGAGAATCGCTTGAACCTGAGAGGCAAAGGTTGCAGTGAGCCAAGATTGGCGCAACAAGAGCAAAACTTCGTTTAAAAAAAAAAGACACTGGCATTCTCAACTAGTGCCTGAGTGATGGCCCACCATGGTCAGACACAGAGAACACAGTAGGGTCTGGAGGGCAGGCAGGGACTCTCCACACCGAGGTGGTCCCTTGCTTGATTTTCACTTTCAACAAACTGGGACACACTGTAGTTTACGTGTGCCCAGGTAAGTGGCTTTATGGGTCACATTATGCTCCATGGCAGATTCTTCACGAGGCTTTATTTATTTATTTTTGGAGACAGGGTCTCACTCTGTCGCCTAGGCTGGAGTGCAGTGGCAGGATGTCAGCTCACTGCAGCCTGGACTCCTGGGCTCAAGCGATCCTCCCACCTCAGCCTCCCAAGGAGCTGGGAGTACAGATGTGCTCCACCATGCCCAGTTCATTTTTTAAATATTTTTTGTAGAGACAGAGTTTCATCATGTTTCCCAGGCTGTCTTAAATTCCTAGGCTCAAGTGATCTGCCTGCCTTGGCCTTCCACAGTGCTAGAATGACAGATGTGAGCCACTGTGCCCAGCATACAATGATTTATGATCAGACAGGGCATGTCCATGAAAA